TGACCCCCACCTCCTTCTTTCGCAAATATCTTGACTTGTGTTCAAGATAAATGGATATATTTCCCATCCAAATAAAGACAAGTAAATAGGCTTTAAGGTGACACCAATGATTCAATATGACCAAAAATTGACGAGAGCCTGATTCCACCACGCTGTCTTATAGTTATAAGACAGAGAAGTAAGACAATTACCTGCGTGTGTTTTTACGGTCCCGTACAGCCAAGAAAAATTTCCCTCTGGGATAATAAAGTATTATCTTATCTTATCTTGTCTTATCTTACATTTTATATTATTATCTCGCTTGATATCTTATGGTCTATGGGTTCTTGCGTGACTTTCCTTTTCTTGTACCGGGTAGCACGATCATGAAAAGCAAGAAAATAAATGGTAAACCTTGACTATAGCATTAAACTGTATTTTGGTGACGCTGAAAGGTGCATACTTGGTAGAGCTTTGGGAGGGTGTAAAAATCGAAAATTCTCAAAATTTGGACTTATATACTCGTAGGTGGATTGCTCGCAACAGCGACGATGTGTAGTTGACTCATCTTTCGTTGAGCGTCTGAGATAACGTTCTACCGTCGCGATGACGTCATCTTCTCAAAGAGGTTATATTTAGAACTAGAGTTTGTGGCAGTGATGTCACCCACGTAAACGAACAGGGGCTGCATGTGCCCACCCTGGGACGCTGAACCTCAAGAGCAAGATATCCAAAGTTCAACAGACGGGTGAGTACTTTACGAGACTCACTTGGAGGCGTCTCGGCGGTCGATGGAGAAAATCTACAAGCTTGCACTGAAAATTGAGGGCAGGGTGGTGTTTTTTAAATTTTCTAGAGCTCCTGAGGAGCGAGGTAGGGGCTCCGATTGTTCATGTAATCGGGACACGCAGATCATACCGATGAGGGCAAAAAAGACCCCCCATTTCTGACACATGTGACGTCACCGCTGCGTGCTCCAGTATTATAATATTATAACCTCTTTGTATCATCACTGCCATGCTGTGGTTACTGTGTTCGCCGGACCGTTTGTGTAGTAGAGAATATGTCCTAATATGTGAGGGGGTGTGGTGGAATCAGGCTCTCGTCAAAATAATCAAAGAGAAGAAACTTGCTTTATTCCGCAGGTTTGTGAATTTTTATCAAATTTTTGTTTTTTGACTCAACACCTTTCATGCCTATTAAAGAACTCATTTCTGTGTGGATTTTTCTGAAAAACGTTGATTAAAAGCACAAAAAGTGTATATTTTCAGTTACCACGGACTCTTAAGCTAAGGAAATAACTAATCTTTGGCGGACATTTTCTCACTAATTTTACCTAAAAAAACAGGTGACCTCCACTTCCTTCATTCACAAGCATCTCGACTTGTATTCAAGATAAAAGGATATTTTTTCATCCAAATTAAGTCAAGTAAACAAGCTTTAAGATGATACCAATAACTCTACATGCCCAAAAATTGATGAGAGCCTGATTCCACCACGATGCCTCTCATATTATGCTGTGTAGCGTGCGCGGGAAAGCAACAGAGCCCTGCACTTTCGACATAAAAAAGAAGAAAAGAAATCAAACCTGTGCAGTATCAGAGCAGCGTACTTTTGAACGATATCAATACCATACGATTGCCAATACCATTCAACGGTCACATTCTCCCTGACAAAAGTTACTTTGTACTGTTCCCATAAAACGGAGTGAACGAAATTATCAGATGACTTAATTGAAAATGTGATTGAGGCGTGTTCGTGACAAATGAAGGGAAAACTGTTTCATAAAAACGATTTTTTCACGTCTTGCATTTAAAAGCCTTTTTATTTTCTTTCATTGAGCTATAATTGTGGGGTGAATGTGTCAAAAATAGCTATTACTCAGATAAGCCGTGAGATATGACACCACAACACACTAGAAATGTAATGCAGCCATATCTTAAATTGATATTATATAACAATAGTCTCAAGTTCAGTAAAACGAAGAGATATGAATTAAAGAGCTGGATGGTATTGGTATTGATAACCAGGAATCAACTTGTATCTCTATGTTATCGTTCAAAAGCAAAGACCGTACATAACAAGCTTGTTCACTCAGCCAAAAAAGTGTCTACCGAAATCTTCACTTGGCCTCAGATGGTGCTGCAGTCGCTGTTTAAAAGCTCTCTTTCGTTTCTCCAGGTATTGTGCAAGCAGATCGGCTGCTGTTACTGGGTTTAATATCAACAATTCAGGTTCGCTCAGTGCGGAGTTTTTAGGGGATTTTAAAATTTTTTTTTTTTTTTTTTTGGGGGGGGTGTATTTTAATTTCAAAGACTTCTCGTATCTCATTCTAAAGCCAAATTTAACGACAAACATAGTCACTTCTTCCACCTAGTGAATGAGAGGCGAACACCCTAACTTCTAGACCACGAGAGCCCCTTTGGTTGCGACTGAGGGTCATGGTTGTCAGCCGCTACGTCGGCAAAGTTGTTGTCATTGTTATTGCTGCTGTTGTTATTGTTGTTTTTGGTGTTGTTGCTAAGGACTATATAATTGTCGATGTGCTTATCTAGAAGGTTCAGGAGGAAGATGAGTATGAAGCGGAAGATCAGGAAGAGATGCTTTTGAATAATGTCGCTCAAAACACTTATATTACGCCCTTCAAATGAATAGATAGATAAATAAATGAATAAATAAATAAATAGATAAATAGACGAATAAATGGATGAATGAATGAGTAAATGAATAAATAAATAATGAATAAACAAAATAATGAATGAATGAATGAATGAATGAATGAATGAATGAATGAATGAATGAATGAATGAATGAATGAATGAATGAATGAATGAATTTTAAAAATAAAATTGTAATAATATCACATAAGGTACAAAATAAATATTTCAACAAATCAATACGTAAAAAAATCATTAAAAGTTTGAATTTCATTATTTTGAAATAAAAAGCACCGTACTTAGATAGACCTATATATATATATACTATAACGTTGCTCTCAGTTTGCTAATGGTTTTTCTTCCTGCCCAGGACTGGTTGGCTTTGTCTGGCTTATCCTGTTTGCCATCTTCACTGCTGAGACTCCGGCTACCCACAAGTTTATCACGGAGAAAGAGAAAGTCTACATCACTTCATCCCTCCCTGTTGTCACGAAGGAAGATGTGAGTCAAATAAGGTGTATTATATACAATGTAAAACTAGCTGTAAAGCCTAAGCAGAGAGATCACGTCCGGCACTTTCGTTATAAAGGAAAGGTACGCAGATTTGTTTCGTTTCTCGGTGGAATAATCACAATGGCCAAAGAAGGAAATGTACTTTTTGTTAAATATATTTGTCTAAATTAAGGAAATGAATAAATAAGAAAAAAGGCTCTGTAAAGGGGACCTATCTATCTGTTTGCAGGTACTTGGTAACTTTCAACTCTGTAACTGTGGAAGTTTTCTGGGAAAAAATGACACATGTGTCTCCAAATTGCGAAAAAATAGAATAGATTATGCGTGTGAATCTGTATGTGTGTGTGCTTGTCTGTGTGTGTATGTGTGTTCGTGTGCATGTGTGTATGGCTGTGTGTGTGCATCTTTTTCAATGTGTGTGAGTGTGTGTGTGTGTGTGTGTGTGTGTGTGTGTGTGTGTGTGTCTGTGTGCCTGTGTCTGTGTGTGTATGTGTGCGTATGTGTTAATGTGCGTAAGCACTACGTGTAGGCCTATACAGTAATACCCATTCACTTTAAATTTGTGAAAAAAAACTAAAAATCTACACCCTGAAAACAAAAGTATCAAACAAACAATATTTCATCAAGCCACAGTGATCTTATCAAAAGTTGGAGATGACGGGAATGTCTGGATTTGGCGTATATTGCGCTTTGCAATACCACCCTCCAAATACGAGTACAACGGTGTCCAAACGAAACATGAAATATAGGATATTCACACATTTACTGTGTCAAAGTGGATGGTTGGCGGGTGCTCTGGTGTGGTTTTTTGCTTCTTCTTTCCTATCAAAGATCTATCGTCCTTATCTCCCCTTCTTTTTAATGTTTGTTACTCTCTTGTAACACCTCTAATCTTGGCGCTCATATGACCTTATGCAGTTGCGAGTGCCGTAAAACCTCTACTAAAACTAAACTTAACTACTGTGTCAAAGCCGTGCTCTGCATACCCACATATACAGCAGACACATTAAACACATAATAAATTCTGCATAATCTGATGCATTACTCAATCTTACGTTTACGTTTAGAGTCGCCCTAGATATACGACCATTCATAATTAACCTTAAAAAATCAGCCTTGGCAAAACTGTGAAATCAGAGAAAGTGAAGCTCGTGATTATGCTTGTAGTGGGGTACAGGGGTGAATCAACTTTGTGGAATGGTCACGTATTCTCTCCCCGTCGTTTTGTGTACGAAAAATTCTGAAATTATACAAACTGAGCCCCAAAAAGTGAAATTATGCGATTCTGTTAATTTTAACAAAGAATTATTAACTAGGGAAAATAATCAGAGATTATGCAAGAAATGATCAAATTTTTCTAAATTATGCCGGGTGCATAAAACCACGGGGACAGCGTATTGCATTTCAAATGAACGGAGAGTTGACAAATACAATATCATTACGTACGTGGGTAGTTGGCGGGGGCTCTGGTGTGGTTTGCTTCTTCTTTCCTATCAGACATCTATCGTCCTGATCTCTCCTCCTTCTGTTTTATGCTTGTTACTCTCGTGTAACGTAACACCTCTAATCTTCGGCACTTATGTGACCTTATTGTGTTGCAAGTGCCGTGACACTCTTACTAAAACTAAAAACTAGGAGAGTTGAAACTCGACAATGAACACTGTTTTGTTTTTAGATACAATGTAATTTCAAACTGATTGAAAACCAGTGCAGCCACAATAAATAGAAGCCCCATCTCCACGAAAAAATTAAACTTTATACTAGTTGTGGTCATTTGTATTAAATCTTTATGTGATACATACATTTGTGACTGCACTATTTTCCCATCAGTTTGAAGCTAACTATGCTGTATCTTAATGATGTTGTTTATCGTGCAGATACAGTTTCTGTTTCTTTTATATTTTCAAAGTACGTCAATTCCACCAGTGTTGATGCATCCCAATAGAAGCACAGATTCACTTTTAAGTTTTTCTATTTTCACATAATTTTGCCAAGGTTGATTTCTAAACATTAATTTTGATCGAACATATTATCTGGGGCGACTCTTATCGCTGATGTAACATTAATGTGTCAGATTGCGCAGTTTGTAAAGCTTTGAATCCTTATGCTACTCGAATGGCTAGTGGATAAATGAGTGAATGCATTAATTTCATTTTATTTTGTAAAACACACACACAGACTAACACGCTTGTATGCACGTGAGTGTGTGTATGCGTGTCTAT